AAATTGTAATCAACAGCTGATATAACATAAAGCATCAATATTTCACATCTAAGCTGTGATCATGGGCGGTATGTTAGTGTACATGCTGGTTTTAAAGTGCTTCCAATTATTGTTATGCAGCAGTAACAGGAGCACATGTTGGAAAAAGACATTAAATATTCCTCCTCATTATCTAGACCCCTTTCGATATGTGCGCAGCCATGAGGAGAAATTGAAACTTATCATAAATCTTCTCTACATTGTTAGCATCGGCTGTACCTGACACAGGGGCAGATTTAAGCGATATGAAAAATAGGACTGAGCAACTACGAATAGCTCTGTATGCAATCTATCATAGGTTTGCAGGCTACAGTAAAATCATCTGTGGGAGCAGCAGCTCAGTGCAATGCTCACTGAATATTGAAAGTCTCAACATGCAAGGTATGACTGTCTTACACATTTTACTTTAAGATTTTGATAGAATCATAAAAGTGACACTGTGTCGTCTGGTTTTCTGTGTGCAGATGGATGTAGAGCGGCGCCATGGGAGATACAGTAGAAGAGGCTCAGTATTTTATGCACCGTAATCTTATTTGGGGCATAGAGTTGGATGACGTAGAGATGCCCTCCCCACAGAGCTGCATGAGGGAGCTTGGGTTTTGGGTTTAGCTTTTCATTTGGAGTGGCCCTCCTCTTCACATTTTAGCACACACACACAAGCACACAGGGAAGGAAACACAATTGGGTATCCCCTGTTACTGTATGTCCAACTGAGGAAACCTTCAAAAAGAGAAAAAATGATCTTGAAGCAACATACCTGAATATACAGACATAACATACAGACAGATATATTGCATGCTAGCATGAAAATATTTTACAGTACTGATATTGTTAAAGGAATATTCTGAAAAGTTAGATGAGAAAATTGAAACTTTGGCATAAAGTCATATAAACAGAAATCTGCCTACCACAACACCTACAGAACTCACTAATTATCATCTTGCCTGTGTAATCCCTAGCAATTAAGTGACCATAGCTATACTTGGGGCCAGCTCCACAAACCAGAAGGTTGATTGTTCAATTGTCCTTGATGGCTTTGTTGATATTGTATGGTGTGTGATAGAGATATTGCACCCTATGTAGGTTCTGTATTAGTATGTGTGCTCATGGGTGTATGTGATTTCTAAATAATAAAGTATTTGGTTTAAGTATGAACTAGGATTACATTCAGTAGAGCACATACCTCTGCCAAGGCCTCATAGCCAAGGCCACATTATATTTCTCAGCTACATATTGGGGGTAGTTCCCAGTTTCTAGCCCATATTTTTTACCATACAGTGGCAAAAAAAACCTACACCAATATAAAACCACATTTAAATGCACTAGATTCTGTTTTTTACCTGGATATGCAATGAATCACACAAACTCATCAATACCAACCCCTTAAACATCAAGATTATCCCGCATGGGTCATAGCCCACCCCTCCACAAAATCTCATGGAAATCAGTTCAGTAGTTTTTGAGCAATCCTGGTCAGTGGATTTTGTCACCAGGCTAGCTGTTTTGCCCCCACACTTCCAGTGCTATGCTAAGCTAAATAGCTGCCGGTAGCCTCTATTGGAGGATGACCATATTTTCAATCCCTGAAACTGACTCAAACTGTGCAGTTCACTTTCATGCACATGCACTTCTATGAGCTTATGTACACCTGGTGTTTTCATCAGGATGGAGTAAAATAATTGCATTGCTTAGCAACACATACCAAGTGCCCCTCTCAGCCCCATGGACACCATGAACACAGGATTTTCATTGCCAGCCACCTCAGAAAGGAGCAACCTCCTGGAGCTCAAAGAAAAGGCAGACTGTCTCTTCAGAATGTTTACTAGCTGTTGACATTTTTCATTTTCACCCTCAAGCTTCAAGTGAGTGTAGTGCTCAATTTCCCAGACACATTATGGGCCATGAGCAGGTGAGACGATGTGGAGCGGCCAGCTGGCAGCGCTGAGAGGAGCTCTTACACCAACATGTGCCCACACGGTTGGAAAATCAAAACATTACTTTCCTCAGTATACGAAGGTGTACCCCATAGTAGCCATATGTATTTATTATTCTTTTGAGTCTGGATCATTGCGAATAGAATCCAAAAATGATTTTGTCCTGGAATGAGATGAGTAATGTCTCTTTCCATGCAGTCCTCTGTTCAGCACTGAAATCTATTATTCTTGTTCTCACTTGTGTGTGCAGATGATGATATCCACCATTAATTTTAGAGCAATTTATTCTAACTGTGTAGAAGAAATAAGGTGAATTAATTGCTGTTTGTTTGAGAAAAGAATTAGTATGGAAAAGATTAATATGCTTTGGAACAAATCTGTTATTTATCTTATGTGCCACTGTCCATGTAAATTACAGAGGACCAGCAGCCGTATTAGTTTAGCAGCTATCAGGTGCTTGTTGGATTGTCCAAGGATTGCATGAAAGCTTGAGTGCTCTCACATTCCCCCTATCTGAGATTTCCATGGAAGGTTTTCTAAACAACAGATTCAAGGCTATCCATCTTGTGTTGTTTTTTTCCCTGCAGTGTCCCATATAATAACGCTGCACCTTTATTCCTCAATGCCTCCGAGCTAATTTGAAATGTTTAAACTGTTTTCCTGGAAGGAGTCCTGGCTAATAGGACGAGGTCCCAAGCCTTGGTCGGTTTTAATAATGTTCATCCGTCCACTGTGGGTCTTTTTTCTAATGACTGAGCAATATTGTTCTTCAAGCCAGTTCAGCAAAGACACTAGGGAGGAGGACACTATGTGATCTTTTCTCATTTGAATACGGACATGGCTCAGTGCTTGGTTTCTCCGCCCAGGCAGTTGAGGCCTTCGTATAAATTGTGCTGTATATGTCAGTATACTAAGGTTGATGTGCGTTACAAGCTGTCAGGATTTCACACTGTGCCTGTGCCCATTAGAGGGAATTCAATGTCATCTTCCTGGATGATAGAGGTTCAATGAAGACTGTTAACCAGTTAACCTAATAACCTAACAGCGTCTTTTTCACACATCAAAAACGCTGAGATGTGTTGTTTTTTTTGAAGGCCACACATAAATTGTGAATTTGTATAGTTGCTGAAACTTCTTTGATTCTGGGCTCAGTCGGAAAAGAGCACTGAACTGTAGAATCTGTCTCATAAAACTGATGACACTGCACTTCACTGGCCTCACAGCCCTGAGTGGCAAATTCTGACAAACATTTATTGAAACATTTCCTTATCTCCAGGATCTGTGAACAAGGCAGCTATTGTAAGTGAATTGTTTGCCATAGAAGAACTTCAGGGTTGCTGGGATGAAGTTATTTTGGGATAGTTTTACTTCTTTCACATTGTCAGGTTGCACTGACTCTGAACAAGCACAAACAGCATCATGAGGTTGGCTTCTCTCTGTGTAGAGCATGACCGTGCTCCCGGCTCTGAGTCTCTAAGCTGCTAAAAGGAGGAACATTGAGAAAACAACGGTCTGAGATGATGGAGTAATCCTCTTTCCAGAACCCTGTGCTACTCTCAACCCGAGGCTTGACTCAATATAACGGTTGCTGTCATAAAGACTGATTCCTAATTTAAGGTGAAAACACAAAAAATTTCTCTTGATTTTTAGCCCAAGTGTGTTTTCTCACACCATTTGCTCTATAATGATTGTTTTCTCATGTGTTATGCTTAGACAATGTTACGCTCATTAAACTGTCAAAAGCAGGTCTTGTGCCAATCACTGCAACAAGACCATATGGCTGCCTTCTTCATCTGCGCATATTGGCTGACCTCATACCTCATGCTGATGCCTCTGACTGTGACAATGGCCACAGATGGAAGCTGTCTTCACTGGAGCTTCTGCTAACTGTTGGCCGTCCATCATAGTGCCTGCAGGTGTAAACACACAACAACAGTATCACCCTCCAGAGCAGTCATTCCTGCCTGGATGTGAAAACAAAGATCCTGCCATGGTCAGAGCTCACGCTGCTGCCTGCTGTTGACCTTTAACCCCAGCAGAAAAAGGCCTAAGATGCCAGTGCTGTTGAACTGCCTGAAAAATAGCTCATATCTTACACATTTAAGTAGTTGTGTCATTGTAAAATGCAGAACTTCACTTACGACTGTCAGCAAAGACAACAGATTCAGCAACCCTTATGATATCATATATATTAATCCTCCATGTTGCATTCTACACTGCTATTGGAGGGTACTGTGGGTTGTTTTCTTACGAAAGGGGGTCATGTGATAGGGATTCATGTCAGCGAATGTTACGTCATGTACGACAAGACCCAATCAGCAAGCAGTTGTGAGTGTCTATGATGTTTTCCAACTAAAATGGAACTAGCAGTGTTGTCAAACTTCTGGGGTACTGTGGCAACAGAGTGCAGAGTTGATGTATAGTTTCAAACAAAAACGTAGTAGTATGGATTCAGGGTTATTCAGGGAGCGACGGGATGGCTTAATGTGTTACTGGGGTCCTTCCAGAATGGTCAGAGACAGAGGCAGAAATGTCCTTTTCACAGACCTGGCTGATCAATAAGTCTATATCACTTGTAAGGTTTCCAAGCCTTGCTGTAGATTTCCCATTAGTTTGGCAACTTCGAGCTCTGAGTGGAGGTCTTTGAAGATATATTTAGATTGACCTGAATATCTGTTTTTCTACTCTTAGTTGTTTTGAATTGAATGAAATGAAGTGTAAGTAATTGGCTAAATCAGGAAAACAAGTGGGCTGTGAATTGTCAAATCAATTGCACCACTGTTGACATATTCCTTCGTAACTATATATGCCACAATGGTTGCTGCCATTTTTAAAACCTTTATCAGTATTATTGTTCTGCCTGGCATTTTACTGCCTTGCCTCTTATCTGAAAAATGCTAAAGAGAGCAAGGTCCACAAACATGTGAAGGGTTTCGGAGAAAGGCGAGAAAACAAGTGGGAGTAGGTGAACTCTGCACTACCTGACTTCCTTGGGACGGTCCTGCAGAAGGCTCCGGCGGCACGTATTTATATTTCTGCATCGAACATGAGGCTGTGGCGCCCACCACCACAGCAAATAGATAAATATCGAGCGGGACCAGGATTAGTGAGGATGCCTATGTGTCCCACAGACAGCAATTCTGAATGGAACAAACAAACAGAGGAGACAAATTGTGATATTGCTTTTTCAGGTAACTGCATCATTGTTCTTACCGAGATCACACCAAGGTGGAGAGACAAAGAGGAAGTACCCGCCTGCCTGTGCGTGCATGGAGCTGCAACTGTGCGCGCTTCTCTCCACTATGTCTCATTTGCTTTGCTAAACAGCTGCTTTGTAAGACTTAAACCGCAGCTGAAGACAAAGCGCTCCTTTGAATGAGCTGGAGCGCACGGGACGGACACTGCCCTCGGTGCACAGTGCAGGTGTATTCGGCGAAGCGGAGGCGCACGCAGGGAGCAGAGACGCAGGAGCGACGCACCTCACAGCAGCATGCAGACCTCAACACCTGCTGCAAAGAGAAAAGCCTTCATCCTCAGATATGCTGCTTCTTAACGCTTTTATCCCCTTGAAAACAATTACCGGATTCTTCCACATGCAACTTCAAACCGAAGTGATGGACGCACAGCTCGTTTGGAAAACAGTTTTACGCACAAAAGCGCACAGTTGGCTTCACTGAAATCAATCTTATTCTCATCATCAAGGACATAAGCCTTTTTTGCGAGGATGACCGAAGCACCTTTGCCAGTGCAGGCGTTCTACATCGGGATGGAGGTGGTGATCGCTGTCGCATCTGTGATCGGGAACGTGATGGTGGTCTGGGCGGTGAAAATTAACAAGTCGCTGCGAGATAACACGTTTTGCTTCATCGTCTCGCTGGCTCTGGCAGATATTGCGGTGGGCGCCCTCGTCATCCCCCTGGCCATCACTATCAACATCGAACTTAAGACTCACTTCTACAGCTGCCTGCTCGTGGCGTGCACGGTGCTGGTGCTGACTCAAAGTTCAATCTTCGCCCTCCTGGCCATTGCAATTGACCGCTATCTCAGGGTCAAGATCCCGACCAGGTAATATGGGGGTTTCACAGCACATGCACATTGTGTGGAGCGACAAGGATGTGCCACATGAAAAGATGATCCTGATGATGATGATAATTGATTATGATTATTTTATTTGCAAGCAAATGTATCCTTCTCTCTCTCTCTCTCTCTCTCTCTCACACTCTCTCTCTCTCTCTCTCTCACACTCTCTCTCTCTCTCACACACACACACACACACACACACACAGCGGGTCATACACACACAGCAGGTAACACACAGCTCCTGTGCTGTAGGCACTGCTTCCCTCATGGGTCTTGTTTCACTTCACAGGATGCCAGTCCCTTTACATGCTCATATATCTGACTCACCAGTGCTGACATGACAGCTAACCAGAACATGGCTGATCACCTAACAGCTTTGATTTGTGCCTCTCCCCTCAGGATCTCTAATATGTGTGGATGAGTACAATAGTGACAGATTTAGAACATTTTGGGGTTTGGGAGCGAAGTTGTGTTCACGCGAATATCTTCTTGTGTTTCTGGAGGAAACAAAAGAGGTCAGGTTTGCTGTCAACGCTGTTCAGGCTACCCTTTCTGTATCTGATGCACAGCACCAGCGGTGGTTTCTCATGCCAGGCTGAAACAAAAAGCTGAGCAGTGGAGCTGAAAGGCTCCAGAGATAAGCCTGTAGTAGAAGAGGGGGAATATATTGTCTGTGAATATTGTCTGTGATGGCCTCAGACTTTAATCTCATGTCTAAGACACCAGTTATTCTCCCAGGCACATGATAGCACTTTTATCGTGCATTTTAGCTTTTGACTTCTTAGTTTAATTTTGAATAAAACAGCTTAGCACTTATAGCTGTGTGTGTCACCACAAGCTCCATCACTGTGAAAGTGTTGCCTTGCTCATGTTATCAAATCCGACATCAGCTTCTCAGTTCATGAAGCGCATTTCTCATGTTCTTTAACATACTCTCTGTTAGATCAGTATCTGATCTTTTTCCGAGCAGGCCAGGCTCAGTGTGAAAAACGATCTTCACACATAGACACAACACATGCATCCCTAATCAATACTATAATCCAGCACACTAAACCTGTGACAGCCAAGCTAAATTGCAGCATTTGGTTTTTCCTCAGGCTATACTTAAACAAAGCTGAGGTTATCAGAACCAGCGTTTCCCTTATAATTACATAAATTAAATACATGATTGATACATTACACATCAACCATTCGCTATCCAAGAGGAATACTTTTTTTCATATACATGCTGGATCAGATAACTGTTTTCCTCTCTGGCTGTAGGCATGGCTGAGTCTCCCTATGTGTCATTCATCGGTCACAAGCGGTGATAAGATTTTAGTGCTTCTGCGTCTTCGACCTTCCTCTACCCGCTTCTTATCCATAAACATTGCAAACAATGTCTGTTGTAGCATGCCAAACACTGCAGCTTGGATTTTTTTGTGTTGCTGTAGTAAATTAGTAGACGATATTGACTTTTACAAACTATTATTCAGTTTTCCTCTGAACAAAAGAAGTATGAAAAGCAGCAGAGCTGAAAATGGCAAGGTTAACTGACAAGGGTTTTCAGAGGCTGGCTTGTTCAAGCGGAAATATGCTGCAAGAAGCTTTGTGTAGAGAGTCCAGGGGTTTGTGCTTTAAATCATAGCTCTTCCTCTGAAACTTGCTTTTTGTCAATACAAGGACACTGCCAAAAAATGAGGAAAGAAGAAAGGGCTTGCTCTTCCTGGCAGTGCTGTGAGAGAAAGTGCTGACTTGAGGCTGTGTTGTTTGCTTCTGCAGGTACAAGCAGGTGGTGACCCCTCGGCGAGCGGGGCTGGCGGTGGTGATATGCTGGACGGTGGCTTTTATCGTGGGCCTCACTCCCATGTTTGGCTGGAACAACCTGAGGCCCCTTCAGCAGAACGGCTCCATTGGCCCCAGCCTCAATATCACCTGCAAGTTTGAAAGTGTCATCAGCATGGAATACATGGTGTATTTTAACTTCTTCAGCTGCGTGCTGCCGCCCCTCCTCCTCATGTTGGTTATCTATGCAGAGATCTTCTACATGATCCACAAGCAACTGAACAGTAAGAAGTTCACCACCAGCCACTCTGACCCCAACAAGTACTACGACAAGGAGCTGAATCTTGCTAAATCCCTGGCTCTGGTCCTTTTTCTCTTTGCTGTCAGCTGGCTCCCCCTCCACATCATCAACTGCATCACACTCTTCTGCCCTAAATGCGAAAACCCCAAAGTCCTCCTCTACATCGCCATCCTGCTCACCCACGGCAACTCCGCTGTCAACCCAATCATCTACGCTTTTCGCATCAAGAAGTTCCGCACAGCCTTCCGGAAAATCTGGCAGCAGTACCTCTGCTGCAAGGACACACCAGCTTTGGAGATTCAGCCCAGCGACAGGAAGGAGATGCTCAATACCGAGCAACTGCAGACCCTGCCATCACAGAAGGAAATCCCTAAGTCGGATCGACTGCAACAACCGGAGCAGCAGCAGCAGAACCAGAGGACCGAACCACTGCAGCAGCCTGAAGAAAATCCACCCCTGGAGCAGAACGCAGTCTAAGCCAAGGGATGGAACTGATTACTGGGCTGAAAAAGTAATGATCAGTACACATGCATTGGCTCGCTCCTCACCTTAATGTAGTCTAGTGAGGAGTCGGAAGCGCTACGATGCTGTAGTGACTGAAACGACTTGGATAATAAATACAGGAAGGTCATTTATCTTTAACTCAGGAGGAGAGGATTTACTGAACGTTTGGCGAGAAAAGAAAAACAAGGCAAAAATGGTATTTATAAACCTCTCAATAATGGAAGTTGTATTGACAGTGACATCGTCTATCTTAGTAACAGAGTGAAGATATAAAGCTTTAACAGTTTTGTTCCTTTTGGTGAATCTTGGTGTGAACATTACAAAACGTTCAATGTAAGTTATTGTGGTTGCTCAGTATCAGATTATCAAACAGCAAAACTTGCTGTAGAACGAACATTTACGAGTTCAATATAGAGAAGGTTCATCTTACTACTGTAATACTGTGTGTATGTTTCAACTGACAGTGGCTGAAGAACATGAATGTAATAATAATGTAAATAGGAGACTGTGGCAGCACAGCTGTGAATACTCATCACTTCTTCAGGGTCTTGATAGCACAACAATGGCAGAGCAAGTAGCACTATGGGATAGATTTCTCTGCAGCGAGGCCACGTGCATGTGCTGATAGACGGTGCTGATTTTTTCTCCCATAAGTCTTCCCCACTGGAGCGGAGTCCTTCAGCGACCAAACAGCACGGATCCATTAAAACGGAGGTGGCCAGGGATAAGAAACAAACAGCTGGAGGCAATGGGAGGTTCTAACCTTTTAGAAGCTGCGTGCAGGAAATTCATGTCTGCAAGACGAAAGCAAGTCACAGGGGAGAAAGACAAGATGCACTTAAAGCCCGTGTTTATCCAGCCTTCATGCCAGCTGGTGCTATGAGCGGGCTTTTGCTTTTTGTGTCCCCCCCTCATGGACTGATAATAACCTTATCACAACTGACCACTAGAGACAGTGGCTTCCATGGCCTTATTCAGTATTTCAATTAGATGGACTGGACTAGAAAGGACAACCTGAAGATTGTGAGTATCTTTATGACACTATAAGCTCAATTCTTTTTGGCATGCAGCCAAACTGGAGCGTGTAGAGATTAAACTATGGTCAGTGCTGCTGACATGAAAAGAAAAGACTGTATGAGAATGTAAAGTCATTTTGTTTTGTCTCTTGTGAAGACTCCGACCTCTGGTTTCACAGATGTTCTCCTAAGTGGGTGACAATCTCTTGTGTAAGACATTTTCTCTTGCTGTCTTGAAAAACATCTTTCCGTCAGGGACGAGCAGGGAACATTTTTATATCTGAAATGACTGTGTCAACTGAAACCGTGATTCAATCCACACCACCTGTCTACAAATCATACAAGCCAGGTGGACTGTACATATCACAGATGTGAGGAAAACAGTGGATGATTAAATGTATGATAATCATGTGCTTTCTATAGCTAATACTTTTTCTAGGTAACCTTTACAATATTGATTACAATGGGACAGTGGAAAATGCATATTTGTTTTACTGTTTTATGTTATTTCTGAGCTTGATGAATGACTTGTGGAGCAAATGTGAGGACTGAGCACACAATCCAAACCTGTCTGCCTGGAATTTTCTTAATATACATCTAGTTTGCAACAGCAAATATGTTTTGAAAGAAATGTAATCCATGCATCCATTATCTTTACCACTTTGAATGTCGCGGGGGTAGCTAGAGCCGATCACAGCTAACATTGGGCGAGAGGTGGGGTTCACCCCTGGACAGGTTGCCAGCGAATCGCAGGGCTAAGAAACATAATGCTGATTACTTCTGCCAAAGAGGTTATGTTTTCACCCCTGTCCATTTGTTAGCTGGTTGCTTTGTTTGTTTGTCAGCAAGATTACACAAAATCAACTAAACACATTTCCACAAAACTTGGTGAAAGGATGTGGTATGGGTCAGAGAAGAACACATCACATTTTAGTGTGGATCTGGATAAAGGGGGCAGATCCAGGACATGTTACACCTTTTTTAACATCGGTGTCCGACATAGGGCTTCTTTCACTTTGGGAATGATATATGGATCTTGACTTAAAATTTCAGGCACATTTTGGGGGCTGATATCTCTGAGTGTGTGAGGCTCAATTGAATTTAAGGGGACTGTTCCACTCTACTGAATGCCATGTTGGATTGTGTTTTCTATAAACATTCTAGTTACAAAATGTTTTAATTTGGTCTGGTAAAAATATAGATACAGAATGTCCAGTTATTTGTTGATGTCAATCTTGCACTGTAACTGCTCGCAGTGATGACGACTTTATTAAACTTTTTATGGTTTAAAGCACAGCACAGTTGTTTTACACAGAAAAAGTCTCAGCTGATTTTCATGTATTTTATTACAATTTGACTCAAATCATAACATTTCCATAACCTGACGCCCTTGTGATTCACACAACAATGTCACTGAGAAACCAATGTGATAAATATAACTTCTGGGTGACCAATTCTGAGTGCACTCATTTCAAAAGAACAACTCCTTGTTATTCCAAATGTTAGCAGTTGGTCTCATTAAAGGGGTTGCTTGAAGTGATGTATCTGCATTGCTTTGGTTTTCTGCTTAGCAACTTTCTTTATTTTAGATTAAATGTAGAGACAGACAGAAACACAGTCCCTCAGCCAGAAGTCCATGTATACAAGTTCCCTGTTTATGTAGTAAACCATTTGCATAGTCACATGCTAGGGTGAATGTTGCAGTCTAGTTGTTTTGTTACTGGCTGGTGATGAAATTTAAGCATCTGGCAAATAAAGAGCCAGACAATAAAAACATTAGACTTAGCTGCATCAGGTGCCCATGAATATTGCCTCCAAAATTAATACTGTTGTTGCTATGTGTCTGTTTGGAAACAGTTATGCCATACTACCTTAAAAGGTGGTATCATGTCGTTGTTTACAGCTTATTTCTGCTGTCCCCAACAGGAAAAAAAGAAACAAATGAATAAAGCAGAAAAGTAAATGCAGGTCTAAGATAAATGCTTTTCATACAAAACAACTTCCCGACGCTAATACATGATGATACATTCATTTATACAAGCACCCTCCTACATGGTGGTATTTTGAAAAACAGAATGCTATATCGGTCATTGGCCTACGCATTCATACCTCTTTACAAGTCAGCACTTCCTGAATTTTTTTTTTTTTCCAAAGCAATCAACACTTAAGGCCCCGGATATCTTTACTTTGTATTGATACCTTGCTGCAGCTCAGCAGCGCTGTCAGAATTCTCATTACCACGGTGCAATAATGCAGAGAGCAACTCTTGGATGACAGTCGAGAGTTGTCACAGCTCTGACAGCTCATTTCTTTCCTCTGTGTATGAATTCCTTTAATCTGGCAACGTAAGATTTTCCTGGAGAGAGCACGTAATCTGAGTCAAGCTTTCAATTTGTTCACTTCAGTCACCTCTTTCTCATGAAAGGTGTCCAGAATCCATAAGAAAAATACACTGAACCTGAATGCATTATTATGCAATGTAAAACTGACCAGAAAGCAATGCAAATCAATAGTCAGGTTCAACTGCTGGAACAGTTTACATATTCAGCCTGTAAGGCTATTTTCATCATGTTGGTGCAGTTTCCTGGGCAAAGATGCAAAGTTTCAGGGCAGGATTAAATACCAGGTTGAAGGAGACTAGATTAAGAACTACAAATAAAAGAGGAAAGGAAATACTAGTGCTGTGTATTTCTAATAGAGCAGAGGCGACCTTTCCCTGTGGTAACCTACTGTCCTTGGGGCTAATGTGGCTATTAACTGCAGATCATGAGGGGAGGAGCTATCACACTTTCAGAGTAAATGTTGGAGTTTATTTGCATTTGTTTTGTTCACATTTTTAAATAAAATTCACAACCTGTGTTGTGGTAATCTTGTGTTTTGGAAATCAGAGGATTGTAAAAACAAGGATGCAAGTGACCTCCACACCTGCCCTTGTCTCCGTTGGTGAATACCCCTATTTGGATCAATGTCAACCATGTTTCAGGTCAATATTTTGCTCTGTACATTAGCAGAAGCTCTAATGGACAAAGACGTTTCAATTCCCCAATGACTATTTGTCCCTTCACGGGGGCAGGCTGAGGGGAAAATGCAAGGAATGATATTTATGTCCCAGTGAATGGCTTTTTTCATTAAAAATGGAGGAGCGGTTTGATGTACCTGGTCTTTGATCAGGCATCATGAATAAGCAAGGGTGTTGTGCCCCCCGGTGCTGCTGCGCAACTGGAAACAAGGCTTCTTGTCAGAAGAGTTTATGCACCACCACAACATCTGTCTTGGATTAAGTCACATCAGCGTTTACAGTATGACTGTGTTACACCAGAAAACGCAGAGCAACATCCACCATCACGTATATGGTTGACTGCTGGCATTCTTCTGTATGATTTCACAGGAAAGCAATCATTCATGAAAACAGGGCCAGCGATTGTGCTGAGAGAGCATCTGTGTTTGTGTGGGACCATCCATTTGGCATTGTCACTAATGAGAATCTGCAACTGACGAGCATAAAAATGAAAAAATTAAAAGAAAACGAGTGGATGCATATTTACAGCAGATGGGACATTTGCATCCATGCTGTAACAACTGAACAGGGCAGATGAAGATGTAATAATATGCAACGTGTCTTAGATAAACAGTTCTAGATTAATGTCATCAGTCCTCATTGTGAATTTAATCTAAAAGTGCTGAAATTTTCTGATTAATTGTCTTCTACAAACCAAAAAACAGCAATAACGGCTCGCAGCATGTTTGAAAACCCTTCAACATAATGGCATCAGGGCGCTACAAAGAAAACAAACATACCCAAACAATCAGTCATTCACCAAACAGGCTTTTAGAACAACATCAATCATGTTTTAATCCAATCTCTGCCTCAGGAGGTGTTTTGAGCATACAGCCTTGAAGAAAGGTTTTAAAATGGAAACATTTCCTCATGCTCGAAACCTGACGAAGACAATTTGGAATAAATGGTTCACATGATTTCATTGGAAAGGAAGTTTTTATGTAACAAATCGAGCAGCAATGTTTTTGCTTTGTTTGCTTCATAATTCACAACCTCGGGTCAAAGAGAGATTTTACACATACAGTATGTGGCTGTCAAAGCTTGATGCTACATTTTCTTCCTGACACTAATTCCCTGTACCAGAATTCTATTTCTGTCACCAGTGACTGTCCTTGGGAGAGAGGGACACCTGCTGGTAAAGAGGATTTTTGCTTTTCTGAGTCAAACGGAGGAGGGCCCGGAGGACTCGCTGTGTGTGTGAAGAAGGGGAAGAGGTCACATCTGGTTCCTTCATTAAATTTCTCCCCCACGTCCTCATGACCAGTTCAAGTCAGTATCCGAAGGCTTTTATTTAAAATCATCTTATGGCACTTCCAAAGACCTGCTTAGCTCCTTGAACAAAAAACTTAATCATAACCCTGATACATATCTACAATTAGATCTTAGAATGGGAATAAAAGTAACTAAAACTACAAAATCCCACTGTTCCACATTTTAATTGACATGATCCACTGTGCTCTGACAGACACTGAAACCACTGTTGTTCATGCTTAAACTGGTTTATCAGTTTATCATCTTCTTTAAATCACAAACATCTTTAATTTTATCATTGTAGGTTTGTGAACAGGAAACTGCTGATTGAAGTTGTTGATCATCTCACAGAGATCCTAAAAGTCTGATCGGAAAATGTTCCCGCATCCACAAAAGATCCCCCACATGCTGTCACAGGGGCCCACTGATGAACTTCAGAATAACGTGCAAGTTAAAAAGACAGTTAAACCAGTTTGGGTTTTATTTATTGCTTCTCTCCTCTGGCATTTCAAACAAGTAATTTAAGGTAAAAATGCTAAATGCCTGAGATGGTGTTATGCTGGATTTATTGCACTGACATCAGCAGACTACTAAGAAAACAACCAGGAGTAATGTCAGGGTTCATGTTGTTTTGCTGCATTGCAGGAAAATGACACAGTTTGTACGTAACAATCCATGTCGCTGTCCTGGAGGAAAATGTTGCATTTATTTAAGGCCGTGCGAGTTCAAACCTCGGCAACCCCACATGCGGTAACTTTGAGCAAACACATCAGAGGGAGAAATAAGTGCCTGCCTCAACAAGTCTGAGCCAGAGTGTGCAGAGGCAGCTGAAGTGCTGAGCCTGACTCACTTCCCGCCTGCTATCAGCTGTCCTTTGTCAACAAGGGTAAATTCCCAACCTCTTCCCATTTTCTGTTGAATGGAGCGTACCATACATGACCTCATTATTCAGTCTATTTGAATAACAGCTCACACAACATTAACTGTAACACAGCACTTTATTTGTTTTAGTTTACGGGCTCTCTGTTTCTCATAGAAGATTTTAAAAACTACCCTTGTGAAGTTAGATTAGAATATAATAACATTCGATGAAATCAGAGCTCACGTCGTGGCTCAGGGAGTGACACGCTGTGGCTGTGATTTGGATGGCAGAGAATGGAACGCCCATCGAGGCCACTGCTTATGACTGGCAGTAATGAGCTTTTAACAGTGGTGGTGAAGATGGCTGTCCATAAAGTCAACACAACTCTGCCTGCCTGGACTTGTTCTGCAGTGGCAGCCCACGCCTCCTCAGGCGTACTCTACCCTCTCGCTCGGCTTTTGGCCAAACCCGCCTGCTGCTTGTTACAGATACACGAGGTCATACAAATTGTCAGCAGTATCATTTAAAATTATAAGTCCCTCAGGTGTCCTTGGAGTTAAGGCGCCGATGATGAACCACAGTGTCCCTGACCGGCCTCTGTCCTGGGAATCTTGTGTGTCATTCCCAATCTCTCACTCCCATCATTTCAACTCTCTTCTGTCTTTGTGAAGCTTTCCATATATATATATACAAATGTATATTAATTTATAGATTTTGACATGTGTGTGTATTTATTTATATTCATATACATATACCAAGTCCTTGCAAAACATTAGTGTACGTACATGCATCCCTGTGGTTAAAGGCCTTTCTGTCATATCCTGCTTCACTCATAAGTTTGTGTCCCAATCCTGTAGAGTACCTGAGTGGAAGCGAACAAAGTTTGCATTTTTGGTCTGTGGTTTCCACCACCAGTGCCAGAGCGGTGGGAAAGAAAAAAGGGATAAGCACAAATGGTTTGTAGGACATGCATGCTTCACACAGCTTTGATCAAGTTGATGTGAAACCCGTGCTTTGATCTGTATCAGTGTGCTTGAAGTTCATTTTACCACATCCAATCAAGAGAAGTAGTCATCTGCTCATGCAAACCAGATGAAGGTTTCATCAGATAAAGCACAGCTACAATAAACGTTTTGTTTTATTGTATTTGGTTTTCACACAGTATGAGAAGTTATCTGGAAATGACCTACTATAGTAGCTAACCTAGTATTTTA